CTGTTGGGGGGTCTGGGGGTCCTCCACCAGAACATTTTGAACAAAATAGTTGCCCTTTCCAGCATTCTGGCGTATTTTACCAGGTTGTTACGCATACTTTTACCTACATAAAATAAACACTTGGTTTAATAATTATTTCAGAGACAGATTCTTCATTAAACTTTCATTATCCTGTTTTAAACTCACGGCTACAGCTGAGATAATGTTTACGTGACACAATTTATCATATCCAATGACTTTAGGGGTGTCTTTTACTTTTATATTGTTTATTGATTTATTTTTAATTGTAACATATGTCATTGTGCCAAATAATGATGACCCTCAGCTACATGTTTAAAACTAATTTTAATAATTTTACCCAATGAACAGCTGCAATACTGGTAACCACCAACAGTGAATTTAGAGGGGTGTTTCACTTTTTCTGATTTAGTGATAGGCCTACTCACAACCAGAAGGGACAGGGCATCATGCAGCCTTCAGAACATAAAATGTAAGTAAATAAATAAATAAATAAATAAATAAATAAATAAACATTTGTCACCATAAGTCCAAAAATTGACACTATAAGTCAGATTACAGACATAGGTTCTATTTCGTGTAAGCTCCGCCCTCTAAGACTATCGCTGATGGGTACCCCCGCGCGTGCTTGCGCATTCTGAAGAACCAATAGTTTACGCCCACGTCCTGTGGGCCCCACCTCGGTCCATATAAAAGGGGAGGGCGGACCTGAGTTCAGCTCCCATTTTTTCTTCAGCTTCGGCATTCGCATGTAACCATAGAAGACGCCACATACATGTAAGTGCTATGATTYCTTTTATATTGACATGGAATTCGTGTCCGGCGCCACCGAGCTATGATCCGCGTAGCCGTCCTTTCCGGGCTGCTCGGGGTTCGGCTTTCCCCGGCACAACCCGTTTTAACTCCGGTCTCCTTCCTCCGAGAAGGCTGACCGTGGTTAGCTAGCATGTATTTTTCCTGCGGGTGTCCCTGCGGTGCAGTATTATGCTAAGCTAAGGCGCCGGACATCTTCGGACATCTTCGTGCTTCCACAGAAGTCCCAGTTTTTCATAGCCTCCACTAGCTCACTCGTTACATGGATGTGGAAGCTAGTAGTTAAGGCCTTCAGACATCGACGTTTCCAGCCAGGACTGGACTGGAAGCTTTTCCAGATTTTTCGGACCATGCGCTTCTCATCTCGGCATGGTCTGAACTATCTTCTCCGGGGATGGAGGCCCAGGCTAGCGGGGTTTCCCACCGGAGATCACGGCGGCAAACTAGCTAAGCCGGTTAGCCACCTAGCTAAGCTAAGCAGTGCGCTATATCTCAGCGCGTGGCGCCGAACTGGACCCCGCTTTTCAGTGGAGAAGCTGGAGTCAGGGTGCTGCCGCTTGGTGTAGCTTCTAGCCATGGACGTGCTATGTAGCTTGACCAGGGCAGTTGCAGACTGCTGCTAGCTGGTTTGTAACACATGATGTGTTGGCTGCTATTGGCTCGCTTGCAACACGGAGGTGTTAGATAGCTGGGTTAAGGCATTCAGTGGTCGGTGCTCCCAGCCAGGACTGGACTGGGAGCTCACCCAGACCGTTTAGCCAAGACGGGTTTTTGCCCCTAGCATGGAGATGCTAGCTACAATGCTAGGAGTTGCTTACTCCAAGCTGAGAGCTCCGGTCTCATTCCACGCGGATGTGACAAAGTGGAGGGGGTGACCGACTTCGGTTCTTGCCGGTCCAAGTACTGGAATCTTAGTCCTCCATGGTCTTCGTCACTGAGGCGGAGCGGTCAGCCGGATGGCGACCTTTCCTCTCACAAGCGGTACACCAGCAGCTTGGCAGCTGGGTCGACCAGTCCCGTCATCGTGCGGCACAGTCGGGTGCTGCAACCAACAACATCACTCTCCAGGCCGTCAACTTAAAAAAAATGTGACGGGACCTCAGCACAGAGGCCAGCACGAGTTTGGATCTCTGCGCTGTTCACGCCTGGTGTGCATCCTGCATCATGGTTTGGAAGCAGGAGAAATGTGTATGGCTAAAGCTAGGTCCGCTAGTTCTGAAACTAGCCGGCCTCTGGTCCTTGCTAAACACAGTCACACACAAAAACGTCTTCTCCCACCGTTCCACGTTCGGTGGTCTGTTCCACCCCCTCGTGGCAGGCGAACACACACACACTCTTCTCTTCACCCCGCCGGCGAACGGCGGACGTAAGAGAAGACAGGCAGCATGAGCCACATCACAAGCAGGGGCATGTCACCCTCCTCCCTCGTTTCAGCATGAATCCACCAATCACAGCCGCACGATGAGTGCAGTGTTTGGCTCCGCTGAAACTCGCCTTAACTCATGCTCACGAATGGCCCTGGAGGCAACCCCTCCCAGGCCGCATTCAAAACGAAGGCGCGCAGGGCTCCTCGGAGCCCTGCGGAGACAGCACTGCAACCTCTGCGCTCAGCAGGAATGAGAATCCTGTTTTTATCTGGACGACTTGCTCCTGCTGGCTCCATCCAGACAGGAAGCAGCGTCACAGACGGAGAAACTGTCARCACACCTMAGGATGCTGGGTTTTTCCATAAACTGGGAAAAGAGTTCTCTCATTCCGGCCCAATCCATCACGAATTTGGGTGTGGATCTGAACTCAGTCACCATGACAGCTCATCTGTCCCTAGTCAGATAAGGGACTCTGCTGTCGTTGTTAGTGCATGTCAGACCCCGCAGGTCAGTGACAGCTCTAACCATCATGCATCTCTTGGGCATGATGACAGCAGCCCACGCGGTGGTTCCGCTCAGGCTGCTACACACAAGACGCTTACAGTGGTGGTTCTCCCGGCTAAAGATCGATCCGATACGCCACAAGCGCAGGATCGTATAGATCCCCTCCTCAGTGGAGGTGGATCTGAGCCACTGGAGGAAGCCACACACACTGTCGGCAGGAGTCCCTCTGAGCAGAGCGACACATCACGTGCCGGTCTTCACAGACGCGTCACTGTCAGGGTGGGGGTGGGGGGGGGGATGCTTGTCCCAGACTATGGGAGACCGGTGATCTGCCCATCCCGTCCCCCACATAAATGTTCTGGAACTTCTGACTGTGTGGAAAGTGCTTGTGCATTTCATTCATCTGGTCCAGGACCAGCATGTTCTGGTCCACACTGACAACAAAGTGGCAGCGGCTTACATAAATCGCCAGGGAGGGGTACGTTCCCGGCAGCTGCTGGACAGCCAGACAGCTTCTCCTCTGGGCACACACCCACTTGTGCTCAATCCGAGCGATCTACATTCCGGGTG